TATACTTAATATATTTTAAATCAGCTTTATATTTTTCATTAGTATAAAGATTGTTACACACAGAACATTGCTATAAATGGATCACTCCTCTGTTGAGGGGTTTTTCCATCTCTCCTGCCCTGACAACCCTCACCCTAATGTGGAATTCATGGGGGATGAGTGTCTAAAATCTGGGTCCAAAGAACAGACATTTATCCAAAACCCTCCAACAAGCAGGGGGGTGAGCAGTAGACATCGTGGGATTAAACTGGGAGCAACAAGCACCTGGCAGGACAGCATTGACTGTGGAGATGGATTTGGATGGTGTTGCTTGTACCTTCACAATATTAAGTCAATCCGAGCCATGGATGTGGGATCCTCTCACTTATTTAAATCCTTTTAGTATTTTCAGCAATCCTTTTTACTTTTTATTTTGCAAGTCTTTTGCCTACTTGGTTAAGTTGACTCCTAAAAGTTATTTTCTTTTGGATACTATCTTTTTTTTTAAGAAAGATTTTATTTATTTACTTGACAGAGAGAGACACAGCGAGACAGGGAACACAAGCAGGGGGAGTTGGAGAGGAGGAGCAGGCTTCCTGCCGAGGAGGGAGCCTGATGTGGGACTCGATCCCAGGACCCTGAGATCATGACCTAAGCCGAAGGCAGACGCTTAACGACTTAATATTCTCTGGGGCTTCTTCATTGTTGATGTAGTGATGATCACCTGGTTGTTGTAGGGAAATTACTACATGAACTCCTGTAGGAGATGCTAGACAGATACAGCTTAGGGGTATAATAGAATGTGTTCCCTACTTTGGAACAGTAGGACAAGTAATGAAGCAGGAGGGAATCTGAGAGGGAAGCTCTGCATCTATGACCCTGAAATGAGCGATCTCACAGGGTAGACTCTGAGCACAGGAGGAGTTTAAGAACTAAATTGAACCTGTGCTGCCCCCAATACTTATGGGTAAAACAGAAAAGCATAAAGTTTTCTTTTAATGTTTTTTAGTTTGAGAAAACTCATTTATGTGTTCTAGAACTTACATAGTTATTTGTAAAACACACATTTTAGAAGCACCAACTATTTTCTGATTGGTGCAGGTAAGGAAGTAACAGGAAGGGTCAGGAAGGAGCCCCCTCTGTGCTCCTGACGCAGTGCTTCTGTCAGGACTGAGAGGAGAGCCCTGCTTCCAGCTCTCGGCTTCCTCAGGGTGTGGTCCCTGGGAGAGGACACTGCCCTCCCCGCACCCAGCCCCTCTCTGCTGGTTGACCAGCTCCCACCCTGTCCTCCAGCCTCCAGCATCTCCCACCACCTTCTCCCTGGAGCCAGATTCCTCTATCTCTGAGGTCAGTGTCATCAAAAGATAACCTCTCAAGCTTTGAAACCCTTCTTGGACTGTTAGATTATTTGAAGATGGAGAAAAAAAAAAATGTGTTCCACACCACTAATTGCACTTTATATTTACACTGCAACTGTGCAGTTAGAAACCTGTAAGATTCTCATGGCACCTGGGTGGCTCAGTTGGTTAAGCATTTGCCTTCGACTCAGGTCATGATCTCAGAGTCCTGGGATTGAGCCCCGCATCATGCTCCCTGCTCAGTGGGGAGCCCGTTTCTCCCTCTCCCTCTGCCTACTGCTCTGTCTACCTGTGCTCTCTCTCTCTCTCTGTCAAATAAATAAATAAAATATTTAAAAAAAGAAACATATAAGATTCTAATTATAAAATATTCACAGATAATTATTATACTTTTACTTTATTGATTCATATGCTCCAATACTGAGACATTTTCAGTTCTGTTTATACAATTTATACAAATTAGTGTGTATTTATCCTCTACGGTAAGAACCAGATATTCACCAATCACATCATTTTCACGTATAATATCAATATTTTGGCCAATGTCAAAAATAAATAGATATCAGCAGGATATGACATGTGCATGACAAAAGTTCAGGGATGCTTGCCAGAGGGTAATTCATGTTGACGGCATGGGGATTATTGAAGTGAATTCCTAGGTGAGGAGGTTGCCAAAGTCCATGTGTGGTTCTGGCCAGATGTGTGGGTCTGGCCCACCTCTCAGCTCCCCATGTGAGGAAGGAACTGAATGAGGACACTCAGGAAGACACATGGATCTTCAACTAGAACAATGGTTCCCTTGGGATGAGGCATCATCTCCATATGGGGTAGCTGTCTATGACCATACATCTATTCCACATATATGTCCCATCTCTGCTTCTGGTCAAGGACAAAGATAGGTATGAGAAGGAGAAGGTGGAAACAGAAATAAGGAACAGACCTTCAGAAGGAATATAGTGGAATGTGGTCCAGGGAAGGGCTGTGCCTCGTGCAGTTGACAAATGGGGAGAAAGGTCCCTTAAGGAATTCCAGGTGAAGATAGGATTCTACCCCCCCCTCCTCTGGGAAGGAAAGGTGTAATAGAGTGAGGGAGGGAACTGGTCAATTACTCTGGGGCAGGATATCGGAGTTTTACGGATGCCTTGGAGCAGGGAGAAGGTAAAACAAAGAAGAGTAGGAGAAGTGAAGAGCATCTAAGGCAGAGAGAAAGGACCCCCTCTATCTAATTCATTGCTGGTTCCCAGCACAGAGGCCCTGCCCCTCCAGAGGGGAGCTGTCTGAGGAAACTGCAAGATGTGCCGGAATGACTGACTGAGGGCATGAGGAAGCTGGACAGGCATAGAGAACCTGCAAGATTGATCCAGTCACTGGGACAACCTGGGTGGCTCAGTCGGTTAAGCGTCTGCTTTCTCTTCAGATCATGATCCCAGGGTCCTGGGATCAAGCCCCTCTGCCCCTGCCACTGCTCATGCTTGCTCTCTCTCTCACACTCTTTCTCTCTCTCTTTCAAATAAACAAATAAAATCTCTTTAAAAAAAAATAGAGAATATTATGAGGAACTATTCCACAAAAAGGCATGAGATGAGATTAGCTTCACAAGAAAAAATAACAAACTTTCAGAGAGCAGAATATTTTATTTGTTTGCTTCATATATATGTTATTGAAAGCATTGAAAAACAATGGAAAATTTAAATTCTTTTTTTTTTTTTACACTTTTAAGTAGGATCCATGCCCAATGTGGGGCTTGAACTCACGATTCTGAGTTCTAGAGTTGCATACTCAACTGACTAAGCCAGCCAGGTGCCCCAAGACAAGTTAAATTCTTATAGAAAGAAAATGTAATACTGATACATCTGAAAGATATTATACAGGAAAAGGAAATTTGCAGATCAGTATTAAGACATATTTTACAAATGATCTAAATACCATATCAACAGTGTGACTCCAATCTCACATCCATATGTTCATACACCATGACCATCTGTGATTTACTGCAGGCATACAAGTTGAATTCCACAGTAAAAAATTATTCTATATAAGATATCCTATTATTAAAGCAATAGATGAAAATCATATTATCTCACTAGATCTTGAAAGACTCTTTGAGCAAATAGAAAACAAAGTCCTAACAAAAACTACATAAAGTAGAAACAGACAGACACATTTGACCCATGGTAACACACTCTCTCCCACACACCTAGAACTCAGTCCCCCAGACAGGAAGTTAGCTACTGTGGTGAGAGGGGAGGACCTTTCTACAAGATCAGGAACAGGCGTAAGTGGCCTTAACTCCATGATTATTCAACGTCTTTCTGCAAGTAATAGACAATGGAAGTGACCAAGAAAAGTCACTTGTTCGCTCTCAGCATTGATGGCAATAAAAAGGCAGTCATCCTAAAAGACCCAAATATATGATTCCTCAATACTCCCCTGTTGGTGCAGCAGGGACAGAAGAAATCAGCTCAATGAGCACAAAGAACAGACATTCCTATGGAAGACTAATAGGATTACATGGGTCTGGAAACTTGTAGAAATAGGTAAATGATCAAGAATGGAGACCCCAGATTCCTCACAGTTCAGGGGGGAGATGAGCACCCTGGACCTGCCACCCCCAGCCCATGAACCTCAGTGTAGAGACCCTGTGTCTCAACCTAATGGGGGAGATGACCTTTCTGTGTCCTTGGAAGACTCTCTGTCTAGGGAGAGGCCGCTGTGAGTGAAGGTGGGGACAGAAGGAAAGGAGGAGCCCTCACCCCCAGGAGATGCCCTTGCATGGACTTGGCCCCATGATGGCCGCAGCCGGAGCACCAGAAGCAGAAGCCACAGGAAGAGCCTGAGCAGCCGCCGGTCCTCCCCCTCCTGGCCGATGAGAACGGGGCTCTGGTCCCAATTTCCACAGGCCTGGAGGCTGTGTGAGCCCTGAGATGCTGTCCCAGGAGGGGCAGTGAGGAGCAGACTGTCCTCAGACCTCAGCCCAGTGATGGTCAGGGAGCCAGAGCGGTAAGACATGGAAGCAGAGAAAGGATCAGAGTCCCCAGAGGGACTCACATCATAATAGTTGCGGATTTGGGACCCCATACATGGGAGCTGTTGGTACTGGACACATATAGGACACTTCCGACATGTTGGGACTCACATGTAGGTAGACTGTGTTTTGCTGGTTCTTCCCCAACTCATGATGGACTCTGTCCACCGGCCATCCTGCCACGGTTCCCCGAAATTTTTGCTCAATTTGAGAAAATGACAAAATCTGTGGATGCCAAGGACAGGGTTCAGGGACAAATGTAAAAGAATGTGAAATGAATTCGCGGACAAATTCCCTCAGATGGATCTCAGGCCCCAGGTTGTACCAAAGCAAGCAAGCAAGGCGTTGGCTTGGCCAGGAAATAGGGCTGAACGGGGAACCCTGCTGCTGTGGGGACAGCACGTCTCTGTTGCTTCCACACAGCCCGGGAGCTCGGTGTGAACATGGAGTCCACTGTCATAGGGCGGGCAGGAGTAATCAGCCTCGTCCTCAGCCTCAAGCCCAGCGATGGTCAGGGAGCCTCAGTTGCCAGACCTGGAGCCAGAGAATTGAACGGGGATCCCCAAAGATTGATTATTGTGAGCATAAAAGAGGAGATTGAGGGGCTGCTCCTCAGAGCTGTTGGCACTAAAGTGGTACTAAAGAGCATAACCCCTGGGGTTGGAGCTGCTTCCAGTGCAGGAGATGGTCATCCTCTGGCCCAGGGCCCCAGACACGGAGGGCGGCTGAGTCAGCACAGACTGGGCCCAGGACCCTGCAAGGGGGAGAGACACAGACAGGGTGATGCTGGGGTCTGGAGACAATAGGAGAAAGTTGTAGTAGGTTTTTGGGAAAGGAACCTAGAAAGGAATTGTATGTGTGGTCAATACTTGTTAAAATTAAGATAAATTTAAATAAATAAGTGAGCTTTAAAATCAAACTATGTGGATACAAAATTAGAATTCTGTTTTAACTTGGTTAAAAAGTCAAGATATTCTTGAATTATTAGTCCGCTTTTACAAATGATTAGTCTGCTTTTACCCAGGCAGCCTGGCCCTGGCACCCAGGAGTTTCTCCTCAATATGAGAAAACCAAACAATATCTTCCTGCTTAGGAGAGGCTGAAGGGGCTGAATTTAAGAAAATTTGGAATATTTTGTAGCCAATGTTCCTTGAGATTAGTTCAGACTACAGTGTAGACCAAAAAAGGAAGGAGCTGACTTGGCCAAGGAGGGGGAGCTGCACGGGACCCGTTGCTGAGGGACAGCAGGTTTTTGTCTCACTTCCCCACAGGCCGGGAGCACTGTGTGAGCACTGAGACTGCTGTCATAGGACTGGCAGTAATACTCAGCCTCGTCCTCAGCCTGGAGCCCAGTGATGGTCAAGGTGCCTGAGCTGCCAGACTTGGAGCCAGAGAATCGATCCGGGACCCCTGAGGGTCGCTTGCTATCATAATAGATGACGGTTCTGGGGGCTTTTCCTGGGAGCTGTTGGTACAAGCTCACAGCATATCCCCCGATATTGGAGCTGCTTCCAGTGCAGGAGATGGTGACCCTCTGGCCCAGGCTCCCAGACACGGAGGGCGGCTGAGTCAGCACAGACTGGGCCCAGGACCCTGCAAGGGGGAGAGACACAGACAGGGTGATGCTGGGGTCTAGAGAGAAAAAGAGGAAGGAGGGCCCTCCATGTCCCCCCAGGGCCCCTTCCCCTGTCCCTGCATCCAGTCACCTGTGCAGTGAGCGAGGAGGCTGAGGAGGAGAGGGGACCAGGCCATGGTGGAGGTCATCACCGATCCTGCCTTCTGTGGCCCCACAGATGTGCAGAGCCTCCCCTCATCTCTCCCTTCCCCTCTTCATCCTCTGAGAGAGGGAGGGCCCGGCCATGCAAATGAGACCCCCATTCTCTGACCCCTCCCTGGTCCTGGGTCATGTCCTTCTGCTTGTGGATGTCAAGGACATGGGCAGGGGAGGGGTTGGGGGTGGGGGGAGGTCCCAGCTGCGAGCACTGAGCAGAGGGCACAGGCAGGGCCAGGTGTCAGGTCCCAGCTCTGATCACCAATGACTCCTCAGAAATGGGACTAGAGTGCCCCTGGTGTCCAGACCCAGATACACCATTGTGTGACATGGTGACCAGGGCCCATCAGACCCATCTCTGCAACCCACCCCAACTGCTTTGTCCACTGCTCCTTGCTTTAGGGACTGACCAGGTGTTCCTGTATATCACTTCCCCTTATGTCAGGACTCTTAGATGCCCTGCTAAGAGTCTTCAGAATGAGTCTGTTCATGGCTCCCTTCTATGTTCCTGGGTCAGGACTGGGGTGGTGTCTCTACACAAACTCTTCTTAGACATCAGGGTCCAGAGTAGTGACGGGTCCCCATGGACACAGTGTCGCTTCTGTGCAGGATGCTAGGACTTTCCTTGAATGTGCTTTCTCCCTGATTTCCAGAGCTTTCCTTCCTCTGAGGTCCCCACAGTACTGAGGAGACAGGGAATGATTCTCTCCAGATCGTGTCAAGAAGCCGTCCTGTGCATTCCTAGAGGGACACACATGGAGCATTGTTTTCTCCTGCCACTGATTCAAACTGCTTGAAACAACACACTGGGCAGGGATTCCCTCCCCGGCTCCGTCCTCCCAGCACAGACACGAGTCTGCGGGAGCCCTGCCACGTGAGTGTGTGTGGCCCTGACCTCAGAGCGCAAAGGACAAATGTGCTGGAAGTTCTAGCAGGGAAGGAGTGACAGCTTAGATGCTCTGACAGGTACCTAGTGACAGAGTTTATGTGTCAGTCACCATGGAGCCAACGTCATATTTCAGAAGAATGTGTGTTATTTTATACACAGTTCCATTCAGTAAGATTGAATTAATGGAACAGGAATGCTGTCTTTTCTCAGGAGAATAGGGTTTTATATACTTTTTCTAAAATCCCTTATTTGTACCATGTGTCTGGTCTCCCAGGTAGAAAGGTCAACGTGGTGCCGATTGGAAACCCTTGAGGGGCCTGTTCCTATGAACTCAGAGCCATTCTGCTGACAAAATTGCCAAACACAGACAGAGCTTCTAGGACAAAGGATTTGGGGTCAGACCACTCTCTGGGTTGGACACAGCTCTAGTCCCTGCAACTGTGTCCAGCACGTTAAGGATGGAAGCGTTATTCATTCAGTGCCCAATGACTACAGGAATGGATTTTACTACCCAAAGCCTACTGGACACAGAAGTTTCTGTCAAATATCCCAAAGCTGAGGAGGGGAGAAGTGGAGATAAGGGGGAGTGTGTCCCTAGGGTCACATGCCCTGTGGCTCTGATTTGGGACAGAAGACTTTCCGTCAGAGTGCAGCCTGGCTGGAAGTGTCACTGGGGAGTGACTAAAGAGTGACAGCCCAACCCTAAGAACACAGGGAACATGTGTCACTTGTCCGCAAGGGTTTTGAGTTCTGAGGCTGGGGTCCCAGAATCAACATACTGAGCAGCCTCAGCCACTGACTGGATCCCACAGATGGTCGGGGGTGAGTTGCCCATGGGGACAGGGACTCCCCTCTGGGATTCCTGAGCTTCACTCTCATTCCAGGAGAGCAGATGTTCAGAGCCCATCCTGGCTGCCCTGGGGACAGGACCGCAGTCTCACTAGATGTCTCCAGTTTTCCTGTTGAGGAGCATTCTGCCTTCTGGAAATTGTGACCCTGAGGATGGCTGGGTGAGCACAGGATGACTCAAACTTCTGGAAGGACAGAGAAGCATGGAATCCGCAGAGTCCCAGACACACTATTCACTCAGAGGGAGGAGAGGAGTGTGTGTGTGTGTGTGTGTGTGTGTGTGTGTGTGTGTTCAAAACTGAGGCTACCTGAGCCCTATCCCTCTTCTGACTTTGAAATACCCTGAGGGATGTTTCTCCAGGGAGATTCTGTTTATATACTTCCTGCATCCTGACCCTGCATTTAGAGGAAAGGATCTCAAAGATTTTTACTGGAAAAGGACTTATTTAGGCCAGGAGGGCTCATGTGAGAGCAAATCTGTTCACCATTCACTGAATCAGGAGTCCAGGTCCTGTTGAGTGACAAGAAATCTGTCAATTTTTTATCTCTGCAGAAACAAGACCTACAACTGTGGAGTTTTCAGGTGTCTGGAAGCATAGGGTGGGGCGGGAGCATGCAGCCCCCTCCTTCTTGCCCTGACATCCCAGCCAGAACCACAGGCCCCCGTGTCCCCAGGGGTCTACCAGGGACTGAGAACAAGATATTGCTGATGGTTTTGTCGTGTGTGAATAAACACTACAGCCCTGGGCTTTAAATATCATAGAAAACCGGTTCTTGGTGAATCCTCTCCAGGGCATTGGAGCATAAGAAAAATAATAACATATCTTAAAATATGCAGGCCATCCTTTGTCTCTGGATTCCTCTAAGACTCCCCATGGCATCAGTTAATTCTGATGGGGAGAAAAATCAATAGACTCATGTGCAAATACCTAAAGGTAGATAAATACATCCTTTTCAGGAAATGTACCAACTTTATTTTCATATTAAAGAGAATGACTGGGGGAGACGTGGGGCGCAATGTGGATTGAGTGTCTGACTATTGGTTTGGCTCTGCTCCTAATCTCAGGGTCCTGAGGGGCACCCGGGTGTCTCAGGCAGTTAAACTTCTGCCTTCGGCTCAGGTCATGATCTCAGGGTCCTGAGCTCTAAACCCGCATAGAGTTCCACACTGAGCACAAAGTCTGCTTAAAACTCTCTCTCTCCCTCTGCTTCTCCCTGCTGTGCCCTCTCATTCAAATAAATGAAGAACCTCTAAAATAAATAAAGAGACTGACTAAGAGTGTTGAGAAGAGAAAAATGGAGCCTGAGTCAGAGAGCAGGAAGGAGAATGTGGGGGGTTGCATGTTCCTATATTTTCTGGTCATTCTCCTGCCTAGTCATGGACATTGGAGACTGAAAACTACAGCAAGGTCATTTCCGGGTTTCTCTGAAATCCTGATGTGGAGACAGAGCTAAGACTGAAGAGCCAGAGGGAGAGACTGAAGCCTGAGGGACGCGAGAACCAAGAGGAGAAGTGGAGGAGGGTGTGGGGGCTGTCGTCAGGGAGAGTCTGTAGGATCTGGTCCAAGGTCTCGTGTGGCTCGTTCAGAGAGAGGAGACTGTGTCTGTGAGCAGGGTTATTGTCAATGTATCAGCTGTGGATACATCAGTCGTGACACAAGGTCACACTTTATGGAATAAGATGATAGAACGGATTATGGAGGAATGTTCGCTGGGCAGTATGTTCAGCTGTAGACACAGAATTCATTGCTGTCCATCTTCTCCAGATTGAGTGGGGATGTGCGGTTGGGCTCGGGTATCTCATGTGTCTGTGTCTTCCTCGGATGCCCCCATTTTATATCACTTTCCGTGCATTACATGACGCTTCCTCTTTCCCTGTTGAAGGATAGATCGTCGTGCAGAAGAGACCACCCCGCTATGTCTCTCCAGGTAAGTTTCTTACTGAAAAGAGGCTCAGAAACAAGATCCCTGGGTCCAGAGGTTTTTGACCCACTTCCTCCTTATCTGAGATGCTGTGAGGAACGGTAGGTGCTCCCACTGCCTTTTCTCCTCCACCGTCTGCCACAGGAGGGGCTCTCCATGCAAACGGGGTCCACCCAGTGACTGCCCAGCCCCTCCCTGAGCCCTTGTGCTCGGGCTCGGCTCACAGGCACACTGAGGAGGATGGGAGTGGCTTCAGCCTTGGGGAGAGCCCTGGGAGGATGCACCTGCTGAGACCACACATGGGTCCCTGCTCAGGGGACTCTGCCAGGCAAGAGGGGACCCAGCTACTGAGTCCCCAACAGAGAGCACAGGGCCAGTCCCCACTTCATTTCTCTTGAGTGAATGCTCCTCACTGAGCTGCTATGTAGACACCACAGGGCCGTCCCACGGCGCCCCCTGTTGGTCACGGGCGCAGCCGTCACTGTGTCCCAAAGCCCTGAGAGCCCCACTGATTTCTGCAGCTCCCAACATCCCTGTGGATCCACACTTTCGTGGACCAAGTCTCAGTACAGGTTTCCCCTGCTGTCTGAAACTCCATCATCCCTAAGAAACGTTAGTAAGCCACGATGGCATAACGTGAGAAGCAATTAACATTAATTTATATGCACAATTTTTTTTTTTTTGCATGTTTCCAGGTTCAAAAAGAAATCAGTCCTAGGCTCCTCGGATACCCAAGGACACATTTTGCCGTCAGATGTAGAACACGAATGGCGATAAAGCGCATGTGATAACACATACCATTCACAGCCGCAGTGGCCTATGGCTGAGCTGCTGGGTGTGACTCCCGGGGAAGCAGCTGGAAGGTGCCCGTCATGCTGGTTGGGTTGTGCACCATCTCTGGAGAGGCTCCTGCAAAACTCATGCTGGATGCTAAGTTGGCACTTATTCTTTTGTTAAACTGAAAATCCTCTTCAGATGGCTTTGAGCAGTAAAAGCAGCTACTCATGTAAATATTTCATAAAAGCAAAGAGGTGTAAAGAGAACTTTCAAAAGTTCGGGATACCTATAGTATGTTTCTGATCTTTGTGCCAGTTTACTGTAATTTCTCACTCCAGGGGGAGCCGTGGTCCATGCGAGGTGAAAATATGTGCATATACAATTACAGGACTTTCTAGACAAAGCTGAATGACCCAGGTGCGCAGGGGGGCACGTGTGTCACTGAGGAGGGGACGGTGGAGCTGCTTTGCAGAAATGGTAGGGGCTGTTTCTGGGAAAGGCATAGAAACAGAATTTTGGGGACCCCTGGGTGGCTTAGTCGGTTGAGCGTCTGCC